CTCAGGGTGCTTAACCATTGAACCACCTCCCCAGCCCTTTTGTGTTTTATTTGGTACAGGGTCTCACTAAATTGCTTAGGGCCTCACTAACTTGCTGAAGCTGGCTTTGAACTTGTGATCTTCCTGTCTCAGCCTCCTGAGCCATTACAGTCATGTGCTATTGTGCCTGGCTGGTTTTACATTTTAAAAGGTCTTCCTTATTTATAATATGTGTTAATATTCATCTTATAAAATTCTGCATATGAGAGCTTGGATTCCATTATAAACACCCAATGAAGGATCCTTTTTATTATTTTATCTATTAGATTTTTCAAGCATAATACCTTATGCAGCAATGGAATTCTGATAAAATTATTATAAAAGCAAAGCATAAAATCTTCAACTCTCATATTCCAGTTCTTACCATTAAGTCTCTGAGCCAAGTCCTACATAAAACTACTAGCCCATTTCCTTCAAAATCTGATGGACTAAATTCAGCTGCATTTAAAGATGTTGTAAAAGCCCCCATAAATGTCTTCTCTGCTTAGCAAACTAAATCAAAATAAGATTCAATGATTGAGATTTTCCTTGTAGGCTCACATTATGGGTTTTAGTAAATGTTGGGCAAAAAAATTTAAAAAAACATACAAACAAGAAAAAAGATATAAAACAACAAAAACTATCATTAATAGGTTGCTTATTGTATGCTAGTCAAGGTGCTAAGTATTTTTATGGATTTATTGAATTTACAAAAGATGCTGTTGATTTAGTGTCTCATTTGATTGCATATAGACTATCAGAGACCCAATCATACATTTTATCTGCAACTTCTTGTGGAAACTAGGCATATCCTGTATTGATCCCTTTTTCAAGTGTAATGAGGAATTTTGTTGTCTCCTAGGGATCATAGGTTCTTGGAAGGCAGGTGGGATGCATCTGATGTGGTTTCTCCACCCTTCAGAGCAACTTATCTCAGTTCTGTGTATTTAGTAAATACTTAAAGACATGCTTTCAAATATTCTGAAAGTCACTATTTAAGAAGTTTATAAGAAGGGCAGAATAAAGATTAAAGATCAAAAGCAAAAGGAGGCAAGCTTTGATTTAATCACTAGCATATTTATTTTCCTGAAATGCTGCTGTTTTTTTTTTTTTATTTTTAAGCTTTCAACTTCTAGCATAGTCTAGGTGTTGACAGAAGTTTTGTTTTTAATCTATAGATAAGCCAACCTACAAACAAAGCCTGAAGATAAAAATGCTTGCTTTGGAATGTTTTTTAAAAATGATACAACTTGAGAATTCAAGACTTCATAATTGCATCTTGAATGTGTCTGTGCATGATGCATATTTTAAGAACACTTCCTTTTTTTCTTTTTTTGTTTCTGATTTTTTTCCTTTGCAAAAGTTGTCACTTTATGGTAAGCACAGGCTGGTATTTTCATTTGCAAATTTTATTTATTTTAAATATTTTTATTTTTCTCTTTTCCTCATGAAGCCAAGATTCATTTATTTCTTTTGCATTTTTGTTTTTGATATTTTTTCCCCAAATAGTGTTGCTCAGAACACTAATCTCATTTGATGTCACTCAATAATAGATCCTATAATCAGATATGTTTGGAAAATGTTACATGAATTATGTATGTAAGAGGCTTGGTGCATATTAGAATCATACAATTTGTGAAGTACAGGAACATTAAATTTTGCCTAATCAAACATTTCCAAATAATTTAATTCTGGAAAATATCCCTTCCCCTATGCCTAGGGTTGATATTTAAAGTGTTTAACAAACCAGTACATTGGATTACGGGTCAGCCTGCTCCTCAATCTGTCTTTCTCACCTGCTGGTTCAGAGCCTTTGTTCTTTGTAGACTATGGCTCCCACAGTTGACCACAGGATGATAACTGTGAACTAGGGATGCAGTTGGGCACTAATAATTTCTTTCCAGGATGCAGGACCACACCAAGATCACTGTCTCCCCTACTTGGACATAGGCTGATTGTCATGGACATTGACCAAACAGCACTGGTGCTGGTCTTGATGCTAGAGAAAGTTTCTTGAGACCTCTGCTGTGCCAATCCTCAATCTTTTGCTTGCTGGACTGTTAAGAGACCTAGAGGTTACTGATAGGCCATGGTGGTAAGGCTGCAGGAGTAGCTGCTCAGAAATCTTTGTACTATAACTATCTACCAGCTGGTTTGCAAGTATTTAATATTTTCACTCCTGTACCATCATATAAATCAGTATGTGCCAGCTTATTGTTAGTTCTACCCATAACACCGGCCAACACTCTCATTCTAGCTGTGAAACACCCTTGGACGACTGCCAATCTATACCATTTGGGTGTGTGAAAATGAATTATTTTTTCTCTGTCAATTGCTTATTACAAAAGCCATGATGGTTAGACCTCCAGGTCTGCTGAGATGGAGAATCAACAATTTTGGTTCCATCTTTGAGCTTCATAAAATCGAGATCCAAGAGATAGTACAAAAAATAGTGATGGATATCTAGGAGAAACTGGACTGGTGTACAGTGATATTATAATTACAATATGCAAAAACAGCATAAATTCTGAAAAAAGTCTAATGCAAATCTGAGCCACTTACTTCATTGTCATCTTGTGACATTTGGATTAGAGTTAAATACACACCTGTAAATGGGTGTGTACACATGTACACACACACACACACACATATATACACACATGGAAGATGATTTCCTACAGATTGCTTAAAAAGTAATCCTTATTTGCCTTTGTAGTGTATGGTATTATTAATGTAAATATATTCACTAGTAGAAATTAATAGAAATTCTAAGAAACTCACTCTCTGTAGACTATCCCTACTTCTCTAGCCTTCTTTCCTATTATTCCCCTAGAAAATGTGAATCATCCGCTCATATCCAATGAAGTTGTATTATTTCCATCTCACTAGGCAAAATGTATTAATGTAGAAATATGAACACAGTTCATCTGCCTCCCACCAACTCTCAAGTAGATATTGCATCTGCTTGTTTGTTCTTGAACTTGTAAATATTATTCAGATATTGAATAGGAAAAACTACACAATAAAAAAGCTAGAAAAAGCCAACAACATTTAGGATACAAGCAAATCTTAGTAGACAGAAAATGTTGGCCAGAAAGGTGAGCCTGAGAGTGGGGGGGGGGGGGGGGGAACAACACAAAGAGTGGACTGAGTGAGAAAAGAAATCTTAGATATTTTTTTAGAAATTTGCAGGAAATCTCCTCACATTTGCTGTGAATTTGAGAAGGGAAAGATGGGTGGGAGAAGAATTTTCAGAAATTTCCATGTGGTTCACAAATAAGATCTATGAAAGATCTCTGGGATGCCGTTCAAATGTTCTTGGCCATCAATCCGTGTTCATGTGACTGTCGTAATGTGGGGACTAGTCCTGAAGAAGCCAGTTATGTATCCTCCTTGTACCAGGTGACTTCTAGTTGAAGATGCTCACCCTACTTCCTGTTTTTAAACTCCTGTCCACTGTCAAGGTTCATAGTTCTTGGAAGAAGTTTTACATATCACTCCATTCCTCAATGATACGGAATTTTACCCAGATCCTTCAAAGTAGAGACTTTTTGGTATTTGCCATCTGGGTATAAATTTTAGGATGAAATGTCTTGAATTTCAAGGCAGAATTGATTCTTAATTCCAACAATACTTTCATCCAACTTTTTTGCTCCATTGTTTTCTTCTGAGTAGACTCTTTGTGGATGGAAGTGAGATTGTTTAAAAAAAAAAAAAAAAAAAGACTTTCTCTATTTATCATTATGGCCAGTAGGAATTTGTAGTTTTCATCAGGATCCAAAGCAAATTTATATTACCCCATTTTTGTTCTTTTTTGATTAAACCAACTTTGTCTTCTAATTATTATTAATATCTCTGTCATTGTGTCTAGCACATTATAACTATTTCTTTATACTTCGGACTGTTGAAATTACCTGTTAGGTACTTGAGGGGACTGATTTTTATATCCTGGCAGTTAGCACAGTCTTGGTATGTTTAAGGAGGTCCACAGATGTGAATGATCGAATAAATTTCATAGGAAATTGGCTTTGTGAAACAAAGAGATGAAGAGGAAATTTTATTACTTTTTTTTTAAAGAAAGAAAGAAAAAAATGCTGAGGTAAAATGAAAATAACCTAGGGCTTAGGGCCAGGATTCCTGGATTCAAATCCCAGATGTCCTGTTCCTCAACCTCAATTATTACTGTTAAATAGTCACCTACATTCTACAACTACTGTCTTCAAATAGAGATTACCATTCCCCACTGCACATGGTTTCAGGATGACCTACCAGAATTAAATTTTCAAAATACAACGTAGACTTTCATAAAGATAATGATTAAAACCCATGTATTTAATCTGAAGTCATAAGTTATTGACCAGTGGCTAAATAAAGATTAGAGAATCTACAAGAAAGATGGTTTCAGTGCCAAGAGGTAACATCCTGCTCACTCTGGGTTGCTTAACACTGGAAAAGGCCATCAGGAAGGTTGTGAAATTTCACTTATTATTAAGACATTTCCTTGCTCTTAAATAATAGAAAAAGACTGAATGACCTTTGAAGGGACTAACCCACCGTATATCCTATGACTCATGAAAGAAAACACAGTTTGTAGATAAATCAGGAGAACCTGCTTTTCCACTGTACCAAAGATAAAGCAAAAGTTTAGAAATGTCATAGCCTAGAAGCTGTTTATTTCTTTGGTCAATTTGAGGAACACCCTCATCTCTTAATCTTCTTAAATTAATCACATCCTTTATGCAAAGTGCGTACATTAAGGAGCAGTAGAGAGATGGAGTTTTAATTTTTACCAATTCAATTTAAATGCAAATGCTAACCACTCACATGATGCTACTGTGTACATAATTAAGCATCATTATATACTACATGAATCATTTAGAAACCTCGGGAGAGCCATTCTACTATGTAAAACATGCATTATACTGACAAGTAGCCGAATGACGTGTACTTCTGTCCTCATTAAAGCCTCCTTTGAATTACAGGTCAACTGATTATGGGACAACCTATGAGAAGCTGAATGATAAAGTGGGTTTGAAGACAATCTTGAGCTACCTTTATGTGTGTCCTACCAACAAGCGTAAGGTAAGAAATGTATATTTAGTATGCTACTGATTCATGGTGTGATTTCTATCTTGATTGGCTGACCTATCTAGCTACCTAAAAATCCTTTGCAGTTAAACTTCGATTAGAGATGTAAAGATGAGTTGATGGGTGGTAAGGTGTAGAAGTGCCTGACACATCGTAATTTTCTAATCAGCAACTGTGAATGAAGGAGGGTGAGGGGTAGGAGCATCATTTCCATTTTGGAAAGGCAGCTACATGGAGTAAGTCTTACTGAGTGTATGCTGCTGAGTGTCTTGTAGAAGCACTGACCAATCAGGCACAAGAATTAGAATAAGCTTAGACAGGACAGAGGAAAGATGGATTTTCATCTGATGTTCCAGGTTCCCTTGACATAGAGTAAATATATTAACTAGAATTTCAGTGAACGCATTATCCTACAGCAGACAGGGGTTCATTTCTAAAATTTGTCCAGGTTGCACAGAAACATTAGGAAGGGGGCCCTGCCTTTGGCAGAAGAACATAGCATGGAAAGAATGGTGAGATTAGTCCTTCCTGATCTGGATCTTAGCTGCAAGGAACCTTGGAGATCATAATATTCCATGCCCTTATTTTACAGATGAGAAAACTCAGGTTTAGAGAAAGAAAGTGGTTTGCACATATTTCAAAGCTGCATGCACAATCAGGACTAGAATTCAGATTTCTTCCTTGGGAATCATAATTTTTTCCACTTTATTATACCTTTCCTATTAACAGGGACCATCTATTCTTCAGAGTTTTTATTTTCCCAGAAAGAAAATGTCTAATTTTAAGTGAAAATGGCATTTATCTCGAAGGAAGAGTGACATCTTTATAAATTGGTGTCATCAAATTCTGAATATTAGGGGTGAGAGAGGTTGCTGTGTTGCTCGGGCTGGTCTTGAACCCATGGGCTCAAGTAGTCCCCTTGCTCCGCCTTCTAATTAGCTAGAACTATAGGCTTATGCCATCATGCCCAGCTCTCAAATTCTGAATTCTGACATTATGTCTAAGTATCCCATAGATTATATGAATTAATAGTATCCATCAGGAAATAGAATAGTATTCCTCATTAATATGTCCTAAACCATATTCTGTGATAATGATAGCTCTGATCTCTAGGGTTTCATTTCCAATTTGTCATTAGGTACTGATAATGACCTTAGGCAGTTTCTACCTTTTGTCATCTGGACTGTAGAAGGCAAATGATACTAGCTCTTAAGCAACATCCTCAACTCTGACTCCAGTAAGTGGTCCCAAATCTGCCAGCCCTGGTCCTATCCTGTTGCTCTGGATTGGGGCTCAGGTGACTGTATCACGTGTTTCTGGTGTACATCTAAACATTTCTAGTGCTTCAGTAAATGCAACATAACAGTTGAGCTTAGACTCTGAATTTAGATGGCTTGAGTAAAACCCCAGCTAAGCCAATTACTAAATGTATAGGTATGGTGATTTACTTAATCTCTCCAAGCACAGCGTCCTCAAATTTAAAATGGGGATAATTATAGTACCTACCCCACGAGGGAGGTTATAAGAATTATCTGAAATTAGACATTTCAAGTGTTTAGCACGGGACAGTAAAGGCTTAATCAGTGTTTTCTTTTCACTTTATTCTCCTTTCTTATCATCTTGTTCCTCCTGCTTCATATAATTATTGGAGGCAATAGTAGTGATTATCCCCTATAAATAGCAGTATCCAGTAGAACTTTCTGCAGTGATAGAAATGCTCCTCTAAACTGTCCAATACTCTTGACATTAGCAACTTGTGGCTGTTGAATATTCGAAATATGACTAGCATAAGGAAGTGAAAGGATTTTGAATTTCATTTAATTTTAATTAACTTAAATTTATATATTTAAGTTATGTGTATGGGTGATGACCACAGTACCAGACAACACAGCTCAATAATGTCAAGCTTAAAATTAGAGGTATATCATAAACACTCCTCTCTTGTCTTTACTGCCTCCTTATTGGCCCATCATCAATAATTAAACCTAATCATTTTTGATCTGCTGTATACAGATTCAAACTGAGGAACTAAAACTTTATCCTTTATTTCTTTAATGAGATTTAGTTGTTTGTTGGCTTTGAATTAATCCTCGTAATCTCTATTGATTTTTTCCTCTAGTTCACATTTTTAGTAGATTTAATTTAGCAATCAACAAACTGTATGCTACACAGTATGCTTTACACCACAGGATAAATAGAGAAACAAATCAACATCCCACCTCCCAAATCCTCTATCCTAGTTGTGAATACAGTGTGATGCTTTCTGATTTGAAAGGTCCCTGAACTAAGATTCAGAACTGGACCTCCCTGCCTTGAATCTGTTGCCAACCAGCAGGTGACTTTGGGTGAGTCATTTACACTTGCACAATGAGGATCCTGGGACTAAGGTTGTGTATGGGAGTTGGATTTGAAGAGTGACACTCTCAAGCTCAGATGTAGCTCCTGAGACTAGAAGGAACTCTTGAGAGGGAGTAGAGCAAAGAGCCCTGCCATAGAACCCACTCAGTTAGAAACACTGACACCAATGAGACTGCATACATGATGGGTAGCCATTTGGAGGACTTGGAAAAGGATATTTGGCCATGGGTATTTTAACTGCTTTGAATGAAGACTTGGCAGACCCTAGTTCCAGAGAGGGAGAAGTCACTGTCTATGACTATGAGAAAATAGCTGTGAGAGAATAGCTTTCTTTGGGCCTGTTGCTCTGCAGAAGCAGAGGTGGCCCCTGATGTTTAAATCACAGTGTTTATGAGGGAACCTAAACCAAGGGATCTTTTCCTCTACAGATAAACGAGGCCTTCAGGGTCACTTTCTGAGATGCTGATAGATTTAAGATATATTGGAGGACAATGAAGGTCTTTACAATGGTGCAAAAATCAATAAAGTTGACATAGCAGTATATTTGTGTACAGTTTTTCTACTTATGAGGTGAATTTATCACCAAGAAATATGTACCCCCATCCCTGCAAAGGGACATATTTGAACCAAAGGGATAGCACCTGCACAGCATTTTAAAGTATGAATATATTTGCTTCAATCAATATGAGTTTATGTTTAAAGAAAAGGAGGAGGAGGCAGAAGAAAGAATTATCAGGCTCTCTTTTAATTATAGAGGACAAAGGCATTGAAGTTCACTTCGATTCTCCTGGGACTCCTGCTATCCTCTGGTGAAAAGGGCAGGCTCCTTAAAGGGCTGCGTTAAGTCTTTCAAATCTCTAGGATGCTATGTAACAAGTTAACATCTTTTGTACCAGAGAGTTTCTTCTGTGTTTCACGTTGGTGGGAACAAATGGAATAAAACTGACAACATCCGTGTAATTGCCTGCATTCCCAGAAGCCTGTTTGTCTTCCCGTCCTTATTGCTATTTTTAGGTGTTTGTGAAGGCGAGAGCAGTTCTTTTTCAATCATCGTGTCTCAAACAGCAGGCATCGTGTCCTGGCTTTGCAGGCAGCTTGTTAAGGGCATTACTGGGATCAGAGTCCAGAATAAAACAAGCCCTAATTTACTGTTTAAATTGATGATCATCCATTGACCGCTTTTCTGCTGTAAATTATAGCAGGTTTCCCCGGATAGGTCTATTACATTAGAAACTATCATCTCATCCAGTGTCAATCTAGGAAATCTTGACTAGAAGACAGACAGCCTGCTCTTAGGTGTTATCCTGTCTTACTCATACTTTCTTGCAGAAAACACCCATTCCCTGGCCCCTGATATATGAGGTAGGCCCCAAAGAATAAGACCAAGTGGGTCCTAGTGCCAGAAGACAGGCAGGGTAACTATCTGTCACCAGGGCTTGGAAGGAGAATAATTCCTCCACCTCTACTTCATGATAAATTCCAAGGCTTGTTTGTGTCACCAGAGGTTTATTGGCTACATACATATAGTCTGCTAGGAGAAAAGATGATTTAACCTGTACCTGAGAAGAACAGCTGTGATGCAGAGGGAAATGGGAGAACTAACACAAGTGTAGCAAAGGAAAAAAAAAAAATCAATGTTGAAATCTCAGTCTCCCTCTTAAATTCTCTTCAAGTTTATTTGTATTCTGCCTAAAAAGAAAATTTCTTTCTTTCCACAACTGACCTTATCTTGCTGTTTCTTCACAAGGTGTTGTATAGCATCTTCAAGGATTAAAGAATACAAAACTCTACCTGGAATTCTTAGAGAGAAAAAACAAAACAAAACTGAGAACAGCCAATTCATTCAGTTGTCATATCCTCATGGTCTCTTCACACTATGTTACCTGCAAAGAAAAAACCTAGATAGTATTTGTTCTTTACATTTCCTGTGCCCCTTTTGCTTCCCTGTTCCTTCTCATTTCTGTGTTATCACCTCTTTTTTCTTTTTCTTCTGTTTTTTTAAGGGATTTATTTTTTAATTAGTTTTAATTAGTTATACAGGACAGTAGAATGCATTTATGCACTTTGATATATCATACATAGATGGCGTATAATTTCTCATTTTTCTGAGTGTACATGTTGCGGAATCATATTGGTCATGCAGTCACATATATACATACAGTAATAATGTCTGTTTCATTCTACTATCTTTCCTATTCTGTTATCACTTCTTAATTAATATCATTCCTGCTGAGAGTCTTCTAAGGCTTTCATCCTATAATTAGGACCCTCGCTCCACAGAACACATTGATCATTCTTGCAGGTCTCTTGGTACCTGCCGGCATTAAACACTGTTTGCATTTTCTCCAGATGTTTAGGTTTTAATTACCATACTGTATGCGACACTTTCTAAATAAGTGTTTGATTATTGACTCCCTGTCTCTTTTTACCCTGGGCACACTTAATTCCTCTTGTCATTTGTTTTCCTGGGACAGGAAAGAGTTGTGTGTGCTAGGGTCAGACAACTTTTCTCAGGAAGGATTGTGGGATCAGACCCTACAAAAGGTGGGGATTTTCAGATTCTACTCTTTCATTTAACAGAGATGGAAACTGAATCCCAGAGAGTTTCGTGACTTGCCAGTTACATGCAACTGGTA